TATCTTTTGGCATAGGCCGAATGGGCTTCGTACCTTTATACCAAACAGTAATAGTATTACGGAATAACTGAAAAGATTTCTCATCAGACAACAAGGTCTTTTTCCAGTTATCATTCAGATGACGTTTGCCCATTCGACTCGTTTCCTCTTGTGCAACAGGGCGATTGTTTTGGTACCCAGATTAAGCCAGATGCCGAGCAATTGTCGAACGGGAAACTTGTATATTCTGTGCTAGCAGTTTACTTTCTAAAACGCGCGTTGATATAGAATGGTTTCTACGTACGTACTGACCCACTTTTCTAGAAACATCCGCAGTAATTTTGCGTCGTCGGCCATTTCCCCCAGCATGAGCATTAGTGCCTTTTTTTTTTAAGTTTTTAAGATTATCATAAATTGTTGAAAGTGGTATGTCAGTTAACTTATGTAATTCAGTTCCAGTACGAATTCCGCTATTCCACAAATGTAATAGAGTTTGGCGTTGATTTTCTTTATTTGAACTTGGCATTTTGGTACTACTTGCGGGCAAAAAAAAAAGCTTCAGGTTTTATAAAGTGCTGAGGTTGTAGCACTGTAAACAAACTTTATTTGAAAATTTACAGAACGCAAATTTGTTTATTTTTTGAGCGAGCTACGCGTAATTTAGTCATGTGAAAATTATTCCGGTTTTTTTTGAGACAGACTGTATCAATGTTAGATTTTCTGGGACCGCCGATCTCGGAAATTTCAGTCACATGATTTTGAGTTATACACGTATTCTGGAGTAAATGGGGCAGACTGCAACAAAACCAGACAAAGTGAACATTCTGAAATAAGAGGCTTGTGTGGCTGATAGTTAACTAATTTGACTAATACCAATGACGTTTTGAAAACAATAGCAGCGCTCATTCATAACTTATGACTTGTTAATTTTAATGTTCCCTTTATCATACCAAAATGGGATGATTATAAACCATAACAGAATTAATGTATATTAATACGCATTTTTCTTTGTGAAAAGTTTTTTTCGCTGTGCATATTTACATAGTAAATGCCTATAGGCCTGCATCGCTCCAGTTCCACATTCCCTGAATCTACTATTCCGATACCCATATGAGGTAGAATGAGCGGAGAGAACGTTTTAAAAGGACAGTATACTTACGTTGTGGTTGTTCGTCGTTTTTACTTGCGATATAACAAAGCTAACATTATTCTCAAACATGTCCAACAATCTCCACACTAAACTTTACAATTTCTTATCGACCGTTGAAGAAGAAGCTATTACTACTGGATCGGTTATTTACCAAGTAATGGAAGAAGATCCACGAATTTCTAAGAATGATTTAAAAAACATTATAGAATATGCTGTAACGTATGTGAACCAACAAAACACTCGAGGTTCCTCACGATATATGACACTTCTTGAGATTCTTCCAGAGGTAGGTTAATTATATAATTAGAATATAACGTTGATATTGAATAATGAATACGCAGATAGTGGTGCTACTGAAAAAGAGAGCATAATAGCTTAAGCTCCCAATAGCCCGCCAACAGGACTTTCCTCGACAGCGGGAGGGTTCATTAGGTTATTGATACATGCGTAATTTCATGTAGCATCACACAAGATTTTCATCCGCGTGACGGAGTAGCTAACCACACAAAGATGGGGTCTTGTTTATAATCTGACAGCGCATGCGTTCTGAGAAAGAATATGATTTATATGAATGAAGCTATTCCATTTTATATCTGCGTTAGTTCGACGTTTCCTATAAAGCAGTTAATAGTTTACGTGTCATCGGGGCTGTGAAAATAAATGATGAAGAACCTCTCAGCTCGGACCAGATCAGAAGCAATATAAATAAACTAAAATCGAAGTTGAAAAAGATTACCAATACGCTATATCAATGTTTGTTTTCTGCTGTAAGTAATATACCTATATCCAAATTAACATGGAAAGATCCGTTGGGGAGTCAAGTTATTTCTGATAGATCAGATGTCGTAAAGAGTTTACCTAAACATTTGCAGGATTCTTTCATGGTAAGTTCTGGATGGGTTATTAAAAGAATTTGAATAATAATCTAACCAAAATGATTATTAGAAACCAGTGCGAGAAATGGTGCCTCAATCTCTCCCACCAATCATAGAAAATACATGCGATGAATTTGTGAAAAAATTCGTTACTCATAACAAACGTCTACCTCAAGCCCTTTTGCATGATGGGAACGTGGAAAGAGTCTGATGGAAAGCTAGTAGAAGTTGCGAATGGAATTTTGGAAACACTAAGAATTTTGTAATTTTTTTAATGAAAATCGTATTCTATAACAATAAGCTATTCATTTAAGAGTAATTCTTGGAATAATCCGGCATTTGGACCTGAGCATGCCGAATCGCTGAACGAGGGTACATATGTGACTAACATGATAGTACCCGCACTCCAGGCATCACTAAAGAATCTCCCTTACGGAAAGACTTGTTATATTACCACGTACGTTAAATCGTATCGAGTTAAATATCCTATAGTTGATACCTAAACTTATCGTTTTTTTTTTATATAGTTTCGAACGACAAAGCATTGCCAGTGCAGATAGAAGAGGAGAGGGGCAATCGGGACGACGGCCAGATATTATATTTATTATGAAAGATAAAAATAAAAAGTATGAGCTTATGTATTCTGAGTGCTCACGTTTATTTTGTTCCCCCCAGAAGATAGAAGATGATGTAAAGCTGTGGCGTGAAACCAACGACGGTATGTATTGGGTTTACAAAAGCCGTAGACCTGAGAAAGATCAATTTAGAATAATTGGATTACAAGTTGCAGGGTCTTTGTTACGATTATCAGTACTTATCAGAGATGGTGCAAATGTTGATCGGTATTATCACTTGCATGAGTCAAAAATTCCTGTACAATATTCAGATTCTGCCATAGTAGCAAAATTTATAGAAACTTTATTGATAACTCGTAATATTTTGATAGTTAATATGTCATTGTTACCACATGGGTCTATACCCAAGTTGGAAAGACAAAAAGAAGCTAGTTCAACCGTAGATTCAGAATAGATACTATGTATTTTATAGCGGAGCTAGCGTCTCTGACACATATTTATCTCAATAAAGATGTCGCTTTTTCATTATTTATCAGACACATGATCAAGTGACGAAATTAAATCATACTGTACACCCGAAATAGATCACGAAATAGATTATGTAACGACCCAGATATAGAACGACACATTATCAATAAACCAACTATCGCTCTCAGCTATATATGTTCCACGAACTTCTATAATCTTCCGGTTTTTTAATTATTCTGATTGGATGGATCACACCGGAAATTAGCAGGCTGGCGATTGGGTAATCGTCGTATACATACCCTTACCGATTATCGACGATTACTTACATTCTCACGTTTTTTTTTCCGTGAAAGTATACGCTATTCGTCTTGAGTAGGACATCGGCTCTAGGAATAAAATCCTAACGGCTCGTCGAATAATGTTGCTTTTGTCTTTTTATTATTAATACACTACAGACCTTTTTTAAACTTAGCAATGTCATCTATTAATAAACGAAAAGAAGCTGTCACGTCGGAGGAAGTATTACCCGGAAAAAAGAAACTGTCACGCCAGGCTCGTTATAATAAGAAACGCAAACTCGAAAAAGAACAAAATTTATCATTTCCAGACCTAACATACTCATACCGTCGCCAATAAAACATCATTTTCGATTCAAACCGGGTATATATCTTTATATAAAATTAACAGACAATATTCCCTTTAGATTTGTCGCGCGCCCGACGTGGATTGAAAGCCGAGGATCCATTACCAGATGGGGTATAATTCAATGCTTATATAGCGGAAAATTTAAGTATTTTAATGTAAATATGTCACGGGTTAATAAATATTTCTATATATACTTCTATGCTGACCTCTGATTCGCGGATTTAGGCATTTCTTTGAAATAATACACATGACATCGCTCCCTGAGGCTCATTATTGCTTTGCAATGGGCTTTGCCCTATAACGTGATGTGATTTTCGTTCGGATGTATTAACGTTAGACTCTAGCTCCGCTATAAAGCTCGATAATTAACTTTACCTTTTACTTTACGCTTTAAAATGGGGCGTCTCCTTATTGCAGAACAATGGCTCTTCGAGCTTACCGCTTCGATCCTATGCATATCTTCTGTTGCTGAAGTAACTGAATCAGGAGAAGTGTACGAATCCGAGGTTGTATCAGAGCCAGAAGTAAGGTTATATACATGATTAATTATTTTATCAACAGATACTATAACCCTCCCTCCTTTCTTGGTTTTAAGATCGTTGATACGTAGGGTTGTTCTGACCCAAGCATCTTCTGCATCTATTACTATCTCCGGTAAATATCCCGAAGCTCATCATCATCATACCTGCTCCCCATAGAACCAATTATAACCAAGCAAAATATGATTAGGTATTTCGGAATTATATTTTACTACGAGTACTTCAGTCGGAATTGTAATAGATCTATTGTTGTTAAGTCGAGCATTGTTTTTTATGTTAGAGGTAAATGTAAGTGGGATCATAGCTCATCCAATCGGGTGTCTGGTCGTCTCTCTGAAGACTTTGCTATCTTTGTCTTTGGAGCTTATCTTCCTAACGATTTTTCCTCCGATCTTATTGAGGAGTTTATCAGTGCACATCGAGGGTCCAAGAAATCCTGGTCCGAGGCGACAATTAATTTTTTGTGATCCTACTTTAGCTTTGGTTATTTTCATGGTAAGTTATATTAACATAAAGTAAATTTCTGTCATCACCACCTGATTATTGCCGTGATGCCACGTTAGGGAGAGCGGTTCACGTGACACACTTGAGATTTAGCTACTTCCAATAGAGTTATCGACTCAACTCTTACTAACGCTATAAAATCTACTACAGTTAGTGACCGTTTATTCGGATTTCTATACTCACGCAGTCTTTCAGCGTTGTCGTATACGCCTCTGATAGATTATTATTTATTCTCGAGTAATTGCTTATAACCGTTGGGATTCTTTACGGAAGTCTAGCCGAACGGGAAAGTTTATATTTAACGCATTTGTACAAATAAATAATAATCGTGGGTCGAATATATCGTGATCGATAATATATACGTAAAATTTATGAAAAAAAATTTTTTATTGAACTTTATATGTTACGCATGATCTTGTAATTAGATCTGATTTCTTGTGTTGTCCCCGCTTTAGACGCCCTCCATATCGAGTAATAGTCCTGACTGTAGTATGCGTATGTTATGCAAATAGCTAATAGGGTCCTTTATGCAAATGAACAGATTATGCAAATAGACAGGTGCAATATCTTCATAAATTTGTGGCTTATAATATGGCCTTTGCGAGTTGTTTATCGCTGACATAATAATAATAATTTTGGTTTTATAAATGTGACTCTATAGGGACCGAACCAAAATGTGACCGTATAGGAGGTGACTGCATCGCTGGAGTTTGAACAAAATTCCATTATAGTCTGGCCATTCGGAATTGATGTTTTTTTTGTGATCTCTTTTCCTTCTATAATACAATATCAAACAAAGATATTAAAACAAACATTGAAACACTCTTGAG